AGGAGCCTGAATAAGAAATAATAATCATAAATACTGGCTTTTTTTGTGGGATTTTTATGCTTTGAGTTCGAGCAGAATCTGTAGCAGGTAGTTCTATGCATCAATATATCAGGTGGTTTCTGAAAGCAGGGTTCGTACAACTTTTCCAAAGTCAAAATCAAGCACTTTTCAAGCATTTCAAGATCCATTTTAAAACTTTTTCCAGATAGTGCTGTGGGAATCACTGCAATACTAACATTACATTATCACACCGTACTCTCAGTCACTCAGTAACTTAGTCTGTGAATTCCTAGCTAGCAGTTACTAGTGTAAACAAATAGGCGCTAACGTTAACGTGTACTAGGCTACTTCAGTTGGCTTACTTAAAAGTCTATGACTTACCCTTCATGTGACTCTAGAGCTGCACATCTTTTTTGCAGACTTTACAATAGGCAACTCATGGGGTTTTTCCCCGTTTAATTCATAATTTGTATTTTTCATCTTCCAGCCAACGTTCATTGAAACGACAACCTCCCGGCATGGTGCAGTAGTGGTTTCATGGGGGCGGAGTCACTCATAGAAATAGACTGGCAGATCGCAGTCACACATAAGCGAGCAGGTTTCATTTTCGGGCTCTCCAACATTTTATTTCTCTATTTAATAAACACACGATTCAGTAAGATAGGTATTTGTTGCGAAAGAAATAGTTACAATTTCAAGCATTTTCAAGCATTTCATCCAAAATATAAGCACTTTTTTAAACCTTGAAAACACAACGTCCAAATTCAAGCATTTTCAAGGATTTCCAGCACCCGTACGAACCCTGTGAAAGTTACAGGTTCTTTATAATTACTCTGAAAATTAAACAGAATGGTATTGATTCTAAAACTTAATTTGTACTTTTGAATACTTAAGTATTTTCCAAAGTGAGCATTTCAATACTTAAACTTGAGTAGATGTTTGACTGAGTAACTTTACTTGTAGTGTAGTTGAGTAAGATTTTACTATGGGTATCAACACTCATTCATTCAAGTACTACTGTGGGTACTTTGTCCACCACTGTATTTACATCATGAGTTATACTTCCTGTTAGGTGCCTTAATTCTGAATAATTCATCCACCTTTCTGCCTTGTTGTGCAGGTGATGGTGGATCTGTTGCCTACTCCATTGTTTCCGGCTCAGACCGCAAATTCCAAGTGGACGTCAGCACCGGTTTAGTCACCACTGTGGACTACTTAGACTTCGAGACCAAGACCTCCTACCTGATGAACGTGTCGGCCACTGACCAGGCGTCGCCATTCCACCGGGGCTTCTGCACCGTCTACGTCACCCTACTGAACGAGCTGGATGAAGCCGTGGCCTTCTTCTCTGCGGGCTACGAGGCGTCTCTCAGGGAGAACATCGCCACGGGGACGGAAGTGGTTCAGGTTCAGGCGCAGTCAGCCGACAACTTGAACCAGCTGACTTATCGATTTGATCCCGATACATCGCCAGCAGCTTTGGCCCTCTTCAAGATAGACAGCGTGACGGTGAGTGGAGTAAAGTCAACAGATCTGGCATTAAGCATAGTCTTTGGAGGATACACTTAGGTCCAGATATTACAGCAAAATATTTAAATTAAATGTAATAAACTTATACATAAGGGCGTATATATAGTATTTGATGGGCCGAGATGTATGATGTTTATTACTCAAGTAGAAGTATAAATCCTACTGTTTAAAAATACTTTAGTAGAAGTTAGAGGATCACTTAAGCATTTTACTCAAGTAAAAGTACAATTTTTCAAACTAAATAAAGTATAAAGAAAATTTTTCTAGAATTCTGGATGATAACTTCCTTAGACTTAATTTTCTTAATTTTAAAACTAATGGTAACAGTGTCACTTTTAACTTTGCATCATCTTGAGAAACCATTTATTTTGGTTTGTGGTGAACAACAAGTTAGGGCAGCACTGACTCCAACTACAAAGAAATTAATTCTCTGGATGAAATTAATTATTTAGATGGTTTTTATTATTTTTTTTAAATACTAACAGGCCATTACTCAAATGAGCTTAATTGAAACAAACTAAAATGTAAGGAGTAGAAAGTAGAGATAATTGCAATATATATATATATATATATATATATTTATAAAAGAGGTAGAAGTAAAAAGTATAGATAGCCAAAATTTCTACTTAAGTAAGGTAACAAAGTATTTGTATTTTGTTACTTGACACCTGTTGATGGGGAAATAATACTTGTTTTATTGCTATTCAGCCTCTTTTTCTAGGTTATCCCAGAATGAAAACGTCCAACTGTTACTTCCCTCCAGAAGTCACCTAATTAGTAAACAGACCATAGTTGAGCTAATTAGCTCACATGCTAAAAAATTAATCCTGAACCCAACATGCTTCTGGTGAAACTAGTGGGTGCAGCATCATGCTTTTCTGCAACAGGAAAAGGGTGGTACGGAAGAGGATTAGGGCCCCTGAAAAAAAAAAAAAAAAA